AGACAAATTTATTTATTTATTTTTTTAACGTAAAGCCGGACAGCTACACTATTTACAATATATAAAAAGAGAACAGAAAGTATAGCCGCGCGGCTATACTATAAAAATTAAAAAACTGAGTCCAGCCGTCCGGCTATACTATTTTTTATATAAGAAAAGACCCCCACCGATTTGTCAAAACTAGTCTAATTTTTTTTTAAACACGGCCTATAGCCGTGCAACTGTACTATTACCTTCTAGCACCACGTATCCAAAATAAGCACCACGTGTCAATAAGTAGTTTTTTTCTAAAAAAATTGTGGTATAGCCACTCCACTTTTGTCTAATTTCTTTTAAAAATAGTATAGCCGGGCGGTTTTATTGTTAAAAAAAAAAACAATGGTCTTCAATAAATAGTATGGACAAGCGGCTATAGTCTTCTACATATATACATATATATGTACGTACGTACGTATTTTTTAATAATACATTTGTGTTCTATACACGTCTCACGTTTTTTAAAAAGCAAACATACAATAGTCATATTGTACTTTTACATACGTATTTGTAATGTTTTATACACATATTGTCTTCAAAATTTTCAATAAGACATACAAAATTCGCGTATTATACAAATAATTCTAACATATTATTGAATAAGAATAACATATGTTATAAAAATTACATTAAAATAGCATATAGTGGAAGATTAATATCTACTTCGGATATGTTGAAATTAGCAAATTAATATTTATAAGGGACAAACTAATGCAACTAGGTGGGTCATTTTTTATTTTATTAAATGGAATAGCCCCTTTTAAACACTATGTGTTTAAAACGTATAGCCGGTTGGCTATACTACAAATTTTTTTATTAAAAACAGTATAGCCGGTCGGCTATACACTTTTTTGTACACGTGGCGCATTAGAGAAAGAGGGTAATTAAGCACACTCAATTAGATTGAAGATTGAATGCTTACTTCACTTGAATTTGTAAACCCAAAGCAATAAATTTTTCTCAAAGATTGAAGTGCTTACAATTCTCACATATAGGATTATGTTGCCTCCTCTAAAAGTGGGAATCTGTTGGGAATGGAAATTAGTTTGTCAAGTTTATGAACGAACATCACGCTTTCAATTTTAGTTTTTTGCATCAGCCAATCTTTGGTAGCCTTAATTATAGACAAAATGAATAAGTTTTATTGTTGATTAGAGCCACTCTATTAGATTGACAAATAGCAATCCGTAGGTTGTAGTTGGAGAGCAACTGTATATCGTATATTTTTTTTCTTGCAAATGGCAGTGGGAAAGAAAAAAACAGAGGGAGAAGGAGAGGATAGGGTGAAGAGGGAGATGGAGAGCAAAGGGTGGATAGCGAGGGCAGAGAGGGAGAGAGAGACGGAGTAAGGAAGGGGGATGAAAAGTTGCACACAAAAAAATGGAATTTTTATTAAAAAAAATTTTAAACAAATTTTAATCCACATGTCACAATGTGATTGGACATGTGGGCTCTACTTATCTTCCACGTCACATTTAACATAATTTATAACGGCATGGACCATTTGTGATAAAAGGCCTAAACGTTAAGGACTATTAGTGTCACAAAAAAACTCAAGAACCATTCGTTATAATTTTGTAAATGTGAAGCACCATTTGTGATAAAAAAAAAGCCTTTTTTTTATATTAAAAAAAACCAGTAACGCCGGCCGGCTATACTATTTTTTAAAAAAATTGAAAAAATCGAGTATAGATTTACTATATATATATATATATATATATATAAAAGAGAACAGACGCACAGAGTATAGCCGTGAGGGGATACTTGAAAAATTAAAAAAATTGAGTCCAACAGTCTGGCTATACTATTTTTTATATAAAAAAATACCCCACATATTAGCTGCCACGTGTCAAAACTAATCTATTTTTAAAATAATAAAAAAACACGGAGTATAGCCGTGCGCCTGTACTATTTTTTTAAAAAAATAGGACCTCTAGCGCCACGTGTCCAAAATAAGTGCCACGTGTCAATAATTAGGTTTTTTTTTTAAATCGTAGTATAGCCGGCCGTCTATACTATTAAATACATTATATTCAAACGATATAGCCGAACGGTTATACTGACCCTCCTAATTGCATTAGTTTGTACTTTATACGTATTAATTTGCTATGTTCAACATATCCAAAGTAGATATTAATCGGGCACTATATAATATTGTAATATAATTTTATAACATATATTATTCTTAAGGTTTTTTGTAGCAATGCTTCCTCAACTATACTCGGAGTTACATTTTGGTCACTCAACTCCAAAAATAGCTACAGAGGTCACTCAATTAGGTGTTGTATTGCACCATTAGTCCCTACCGTTAGAGAGACACAATGTGAGACGTGTATTAAACATTAGAAATGCATATGTACATGTACAATACGACTATTCCACATTTCCCTTTTAAAAAATGTGGGACGTGTGTAGATATAAGAAAAACTATAGCCACTCGTCTATACTATTTATTGAAGACAATTTTAAATATTTTTTTAAAAAAAAGGTGTAAAGCCGTCCGGCTATACTATTTTTAAAAAATTTTTGGAAAAATGGAGTATAGCCGCACAGCTATACTACAGAGTATAGCCGCACAGCTATACTACAGAGTATAGCCGTGCGGCTATATGTGAAAAATTAAAAGAACTGAGTCCAGCCGCCCCCTATACTATTTTTTATATAAAAAAAGGATCCCCACCGATTAGCCGCCACGTGTCAAAATTATTATATTTTAAAAAAATAAAAAACACTGACTATAACTGTGCGGCTGTACTTAAAAAAATTAAAAGAAGACCCTCTATCGCCACGTGTCCAAAATAAGCTCCACTTGTCAATTATTTTTTTTTTTTTTTTTTTTTTTTGTTTAAGTATAGCCGGCCGGCAAAATCCCTTTTTGAAACACTTTGCAAACAAGATCATCAATATCCATAGCACATAAACTCCACTGATTATGATAAAAACTAGACGGGAACCCATCAATTCTAGAAGCTTTGAGATGACCAATATTAAACAAGCTAGTTTTAATTTCAAACATATCAGTAGGTCTTAGTAAATTAGAAACAATCACAGGGTCCATACTTGGAAAAAGATTAGGAATGACTACGGAGTTAGAGCCCACTTGACCTTGAGAAAATAACTTGGTGAAGAAATTGACAGCAAGAGCTTTCAAGCTATCAGCCGTCTCCACCCAAACCCCATTGTCATCCTTAAGACGTTCAACCTTATTCCTTCGATGCCTTATTAAAGTTGTCATATGGAAAAAAAATTGTGTTCCTATCTCCCTCTTGCAGCCATTTAAGCCTAGATTTTTGCTTCCAAAATAGAGCATCCTGATCAAGCAGAGAATTAAATTCTTACACCAAGGAACACTCTAACTGACTTAGAAATCAATTAGGTCCCTGACACAAATTTGTTTGAGTACTAGCCAATCTTGAGAGAATACGAGCTTTTCTCTATTTTAAATGACCGAAAATACTACGATTCCACATCTTCAAAGAATCAATTAAACCGTAGGACTTGCCCATAGCAGAACCAAAAATTCGCCCCCACCTTTTCCCAATAAAATCCTTAAAGCTCTCATGTTGTGTTCGCCGTAAAACTAAACAGATAGAGATAAGGCTAACTTACAGGTGATGTGGACGGTTTGGACCCGAGGAGCCTTCGGTCCGTGGTGTCCTTTCTCGAGGCGCGATGTTAGATATAGCCTGAGGGAATAAATAGCATGTGAGGTTTAAAGCACCGGTGTGGTGCCGACCGAAGACCCTCTGATGCCAAAGTTAGTGACTAAGAGCAATTCATTGACAGTGTGAAAGCACAAGTCAAGTAAATAGTCTTACATTTTGGTTGGGCCAATGGGCATTATCTATGGGGAGCATTTAGGATGCTTTTAGTACTTAGTTTCGATGTGGGACTCGTGGGAATGCCCTCTGAGGTCAACATGAGTCCGTAAAATATCAACAGGGGGTTTTCGAGATCTTCTCACCTAATTGGCATGGCGTATCAATAGTTACGTCCGAGGAGCTTTCGGGAGCGCGAGCCAATCAGCAAGCTATGCCTTGTGATGAATCGGTCATAGGTGCCGATTCATACTTTAACCGATATGTTAGTGAGCCAGAATGTTTTCTAGCTTTGTACTCTTTCCACGTGTCATGCTGTGAATGGTAGGGTCAGCTATGGTACAAGCATGTTGCATCCACATTGCTTCAAACCTAAAAGGTCTAACATTAGAAGTAGTAGATAGTCTTGACTGCAAACATATTTTGATGGGACAATGATCAGATTTTGTCTTAGGAAGATGTACGACATTTGCTTCAGCAAACATTTGTCTCAGCAAACATTTGCCTCAATTTCAAATTACAAACATCTCTGTCAAGTCTTTCAAAGACCCTATGATTAGTCCAAGTGAATTGAGGACTTGAGTACCCCAAATCACTCATTTCATTCTCAGTAAACCACCTTTTAAAATCTTTCAATCAAGATGGATTAACACCCCCCAAATTTGTCTTCCACATGAAACATCTCATTAAAGTCCTCAACAAGCATCCATGGTAATTGATGACAATTGGCACAAACTGGAGATAATCCCATAATTTCTCCCGCTTAATTCCACACGGTTTAGCATATACTGTAGACAACAACCAAGGATCTTTACCATGCCAGGACACACAAGCTGTAATTACTTGATCAGTAACGCCTAAAATCTGGACACTAACTTTAGTATCATTCCACAATAACCATAACCCTCCCAAGAAACCCACAAGATCAACAATTTCATAAGAAGAGAACCAAGGGATTTAATCATATCAAGGGCTTTTTTCCCACTAATCCTAGGTTCATAGATAAACAGTAAATCTAGATGATTACCACAGATCAACTCCGCAACATTATTTTGAAAGCTTGTGCACGCAACACCTCTAACATTCCAAAGACTAAATCCATAAAAGAATCAGAAAAATACGAGAACCCTTAAGGCTAATCCCTAATTAAGAACCAATGGTTATACCTTCAACATTGTTAAAGGCATGACTAGTAGTCTTCTCCTGCGAGAAAATCTTTTGTCCTACAGACATATCCATATGCCCCTGCGGCAACCCACCATCATGTGCAGAGGAAACCAAAGAAGTAGTATCAATATCTGTATCTGTATCACACTCCTCTGCATGCTTATTACCACATGCATCAATACTAAGTGGCTGGTGTCCAATAATATACACATCTTTAGCAGTATATTCATTGTTACCACGCACCCAAGTATTTAACTGCTCTTGCACATAAATTTGCTTTTCCACTCTTTTACCACCAACAATCATTTTACCCTTACTTGACAAAGTCCCATCACTCCCACGGGTAGAATCACCAAGTCGTTGGCCAGTCATATTCAGTGGAATATTTTCCTTCAAAGAAGAATTAGAGATATTGCTCAAAGCTGCCCTAAAGCCTGCTTTATTAGTCTTGGATTTAGTCCAAATTTTCTGTCCCATGTCAGCACCCCTCGTAGATGAATCAACCTTTCCCGTACCAGTTTGGGCACCATTTCCACTAACCAAACCCTTATCCAAACCAAAATTTTCTCCCACTTTGCGTAAAGCATCAAACATAGACCCACGGTTCCTATTGCCAGAACCCTTAGAACCTTTGTTAGCAGCCACAACCTTGGGTTTTCTTCGAGCCGACACATTCATCCAAGGTCCCCTCAGACCTCCCATTAAACCATCAACACCATCCTTTTCCATAGCAACGTCCGAGCTTGTACCAACTCCTTCATTAGGAACATGCCCCTCCCCAACAGAGTCAGCATAACCAGGGGCCTTCATTTCACAACTATCCCTCTTGTGCCCATACATACCACACAAGTAGCAAATATCTAGTAAACTTTCATACTCAATATTATACCAAGTTTGATTAACCTGAACGAAGGCCTTAATGGGTTTGGTAAGGTCTAATTCAACACAAAGGTGAGCAAATTTTCCCATATTCTGAGCAGTGGTAAGAGAATCAATTTTGAGCAGTTTACCCAATAAATCTCCAATACGCTTCAAAGCCTAAACATCAAAACATTCTAGCTAAAGCGCATAAACACAAATCCAAGCCGCCATTCGTGTAATTTGAGCCGTCGCAGGACAAAATCCTGGTCTCTATTTTTGCATAACCAGATATTGCCCTGTAATAATCCAGGGACCTCTAGTTAACACAAAATTGAGATCCTCCTCTAATTCAAACTTAACCACATAATAATCATTCACTAGATCAACCAATTTCCACCCTCCCTTCAATCCCATTTATGCCATAGTCGAGCGTGGAGGTAATTGTATGTGTGAGATTGACCAAGAAGTTTGATAATCAAGGCATTCCCCTAAGGCTTGCCTAGACGAGACATAGCACGGTCATAAAATTGAATACAAGGACCACGATCACCTCTAGAAATTATCACATCTTCCTCATCATTCAAATCATCATACGCATCATCCAAACAATCTATGTTGATACCCACATTCTTAACCAAGTCTACCTTCTTCATAAGTTTATCTTGAAAACTTACAGGACCATCAGACAGAAAGGATACTTGATTCAACTCAGATTCAATCATTGGACTCACATGCAAATCAATAAGAAGCTCAGACACATCCTCACTTTCCTCAGTTGCTCGACTTCGCTTAGGGAGCCCAGAGTATTGCAGAACCTCCCCAAGGGACCGTTCCTCCATGGACGATGCAGACGCAAGCTTGAAAATCACATAGCCAAATCAAAGAGGGAGCCTGGAAATCACCGCACCAGTCGAAGAACAACGAGAAAGCGAGAGGTTAGAAAACCCAAAACCCGCACGTGAGGCGTGAACAAAAAGTCTTAACTTTTCAACCCGTCACTATACCTTGGAGCTTTCTTAGCCAAGAAGCTTAATAGACAAAAAACAAAAAGAAAAAAAATGAAAAATGAAAAAAATGAAAAAAAAGAAAGAAAAAGAAAATAACAATTGGGGTGATTCCGTAATTTTCAGCAAAATAATAAGTGGAGAAGTAAACATGGTGATGATAAAAAAGAAAAGGGTAATTCTATATGAACCTCATTAATTGCTCTTTACACCCCACTAAATTTTAATAAAATTTCAAATTACTCATTATACCCCTTTTTTTTGGTCCTAAATTGCCCTCACGAACCCCATTTCCTAACTCACTGTGTAAACCCCATTCAATATCAGACACCACCCATCGAAAACCCCCTTCCCTTTCAACACACCCCATCTGAAATCAAACCCCACCCCATCTAATATCAAGCCCCACCCCATCGAAAATTCATTCCTCTTGCAGATACACCCTGTCGCAGAACCCATCCCTTTGCAAAGACCCATCGCACAACCCAGCAAACCTGTCATCGCATAACCCAGCAAACCCCCATCGCCGTTGTCGGTGGCCAAGTCCGCTTCCGATCCCTCACCTTCTCTTATCTCTCTCATCGATCTGAGTATATGAACTTTGATTTGTGTTTCTTTTTATCTGCTCTGTAACTTAGCCCCCGAGTTTGACCAAAGCTTAATGCTTCGAACTAGTTTATACTCATGGTGCTTAAAAACAAATGAATTGCTTTTAGAAGAATTAGTTGAAGCATTGAATTTGTTGTGATGCTAATATATGATGTTTGCTTATATTTTTGTTCTGTCGTGCAGAGTTTAGGGAAGTCTTTTTTCTTGGAAAGCATTGTTGGGAAGGACTTCTTACCACGTGGTTCTGGTAAGACTATCGAAGCCCAAGAAATCTTGGTTATTTGTGGCAGTTTGGTCGTCTGATTTTGATTTTGATTTTGATTTCAACGTTGTGTATGGTTCGAACCTGGTTTTACGAAACTAGATTCTAGTTTTGGTGGATTACCATCGAAATGGTTACATTGATTCAGTGGTAGTCCACCGAATTTGAACCTGAGTTGTACGAAAATTTATTTTACTTTCGGTGGGTTACCACCGAAATTGTTACCTTGTTTCGGTGGTTGTCCACCGAATATGTTTCTATTTTTCAGGAGACTCCCACTGAATTTATTTCTGTTTTTCAGTGGTACTCTACCGAATATATGTTCTTTTTTCAGTGATAGTCCACCGAATTTATTTCATTTTTTCAGTGATCATCTACCGAATACGTTACTGAGTGTTTACTTAATATTGTTTGTTTTTAGATATGAAGCGGACTCGTAAAGGTACTACTGAGGCTTCATCATCCCGACCTAATAGACAGCGTCCCACGACCTTAACGAGGAGACAGAGAGCGGCTTCTCAAGATCACTTTGAGGATATTACAGAGGTTGAAGATGTAGTTCCTACTCATTATAGTAATGTTGACGCAGAGGTTGAGGATGTAGCTGCTACTCAGGATAGTAATGTTGAGGTACATGCCAAGCCTACTGAGCCATCTCGAGTAGGTCCTATTGATCCATCTTTACTTACGAGTTTTAAAACTCACATAGCAGCTGCAATTTGGAATAACCAGGTAAATCGTTTTACTGTGACAATAGAAGGTAGAATATAAGTATGGTTCATGGTAATTAACCTTAATTTTGTTTTTTTTGTTTAACTAGGAACGTGAGCCCCTTAGGTGCATTTCAAAAACATCTACCCTTCGTGAGTGGAATTAGTGGGGTAATCCAAATAATGGTATATTCAAAGGTTACATTTTTAGGTAGAGTAATGGAGGCCTTAGCAATCTCAAATGCAGATGCAAACGATGAGTAGAAGTGTCAACTTTTCGCGGTCTCCCTTTGGTCTTCAACTTCTCTTTTGGTTCAATAAGCGCAGTAGAACCAGGGTTCATTAGCTCCTCCAGTGTCATGTGGACTTATCCATTCTTTTCATCATCTTGTTGTTCATACCACATATTGAATACTTGTAGTTGTGACCTTCCTGGTGAAGTTGTGCCATGACTACTGTTTCCTATATTGATGAGATCTAATTTCCTCCAATGTGAATGCACGACATCAAGTGGTATTGGTACACCACGCTCTCTGTACTCCGCAATTTCATGTGCACACATGGTAATTGGTGGGTTCGACGAATAGCACAACCACATGAAAAAGCATCCACCCCATCTGTCTCTAACCCGATTGCAAAAAAATTACAATGTTAACTCTGTAAACCATATATGTACATGCAATAAGTAAACTGAATTTAGCTTTCTGACTCGCACACAATTACACTCAAAGCCTTTATAGAAACAAAACCTACTAACTCTCTCAACTCTGGATGCCTGAACCTATGTTGAATAAAATATCGACTCTTTTCAAAAGATGCCTTAATCTTTGTGTGCTCCAGCTCTAACAATGAGTGTATAGTTACCCATGATCTCTCAAAGTTAAGTTAGCTTGAGCGGAGTTGTCACTTCAACTTTGCATGTGCACTTTCCGCTCTATTGATAACAATAATAAATTTTCCTGAAGCAAAATAAATTTTCAAATTAACATATCAAAAGTTGACTAAAATACTTACCTATTTGAGGTCGTCGATCCAAGATGCATACAAGTGTTTGTCCATGCGGCCACAAACCTATCCTTAAATGGATTTAACCAATTTTCATGTATGTATTCAAGAGCTTTTTGAAATTCACTGAACTTAGACTCAATCTGTCGCAAACAACGCCAATATTCCTCCTCCGTTTCTGAACCAACCAAAGTATTCCAATCATCATTAAATTGCTTCCATTGTTTGAGGGTCCCAAATAACTTCTTGCAGTTTGCCAACACTCCTTTGTTAATATGTCATCTACATAATAAATGTCGTGCTTTTAGAAATAACACCAGGAAAACAATTATCATCCAACAAACTCCTCAATGCAGTCAATGCCAATGCGTAATTGTCTTCCTTTTCGGCATTCATATACACATACGCAACAGAGAATGTCATATTAGTAGATGTCACCCCCACAATTTACAATAGTGGGAAACGATACCTATTAGTCTTATAGGTGCAATCCATGATGAGTACATGTGGAAATGCGCGCAAAATATCAATATTAATGGGGTGTGTCCAAAACAGGTCAGTTACAATATCACCAGATGTCCTATGCCACTCAATATAATTGTGTTCGGATAACTTAGTAAGCAATTGTTACATTTGGGTTCTCCCAGCAAATTCTTTGGTTATATTTCGGATCCTAGCATTGTATATTGTCTTCATAGTTGAAACATTCATTGCATCTCTATCTTTAATGTTGACCAAAGTATCTCTGGGTTTTACCAAACTCTTAGACATGTCCACCAACAAGGCATTCTCCTCTTCAGTAAGTCGCCCCACAAATGAATGACCTTGAAGATACTCTGAAATAGGATGGTTGTGTACTCCACAAACCACCTCCAACTTCCAATCATCCCCATCACCAATATTGACACCTTTTAATAAGAATGGGCATCCACATTTCTTGGTACCAGTGTCCCTATCACTATTTGCATCCGACCTTATATCAGTTGTCTCACTAGACTTGCAAGACTTATAGTTACCGTTCCTCTCACAAGCAAGTATTACATGAGGTCTCCTCTTGCCCTCACCTCCACAATCAGACCTTTTAATTACAATGACAATATTATTCAATTTTCCTTGTTCACGAGCCCATCGAAATAATGCATCTCTACCATTGAATATCTACACATAAAACTCATATTATTTAAATATAAAATTTGAAGCATGACAAATAATTACCAAATAAGTTGTGAATTGATCACTATAGTCCATTACACATTCTGTTCCCACATTGTTGCCTTCAGTAGGGGCATCACCTTGATTTTGTTCATTCAATGGGAATAAGATCAAAATAGCTTAGATTAAATTTGTGGTCGGCAATAATTTACTGAAAAAATAAATAAATTTCGGTTGGATGCCACTGAAACGCAGGTAAAATTTCGGTAGTAAACCACTGAACTACGTTTCATTTTATGGTGGATCTCCACCGAATATTAAGTTTCTGACCGGTGAAACCCAACCGAAAACTGTGCAATGTTTCAGTGGCATCCCACCGAATTTACCTGTCGTGTTCGGTACTGATGTGCTGAACGCAACCAGCGACCGTTATGAAATACTAACCTTGCAAAACGCCAAATAAACTCGTACCTCATTCGAAGCCTTTCTAACTTCAATCTCACCCTTCATGAATAAATACAAGATATTTTTTCACCAGTATAAACTTATAAATCTAAAGTTTAGGGTTTATGAACATGATAATTTGAGAAAAGGGTCAAACTAGAGTTGCAGGAACATATGTGGGGTGTAGCGAGCAATTTTAATTTTAATTTTAAATTTTTTATCCTTAACGATAATTGTATACAAGGGTAAAATAGGTTATTTATATTTAAAATTAGTATGGAGTGTAAAGAGCAAATAATGGGATGACAATAAAATCTCCCAAAAGAAAAAAGATGGAACGTGCCAATGAGTTTTCTTCTCCGCGTCAATTAAGAACCGGTGCGAGTGCGACCAGTCCCCAAACCCAAAACCCAAACTCTTTGACCGGCTGTCACCGGTAAAACCGGTTCCCAGCTTTACAAATTAGATTCCTGCGGCATTTTCTTCTTCCTTACCTTTCCCGTTTTCAGTTTTCAAACCACATTACCTCCTCCACCTTCACCTCCGCTTCGTCTTATTTTCTCAAAAGCTTCAAAGAGAAAAATCAAATACTAATAGAAGAAGCACGTCGCGTATTTCTTCTGATCCGGAGACCGATTCAACTCGTCCTCAACCCGGCCTCTAGGGTTTTGTATGCACTGATTTCTCAAATCAGGTACGACATCTTTCATGCATTTGCTTTACTTTAGTTGCTTTATCTATCTGATTGGTTGCCGAGAAAACAACTGGGGAGAACAAAAAAGGAGTTTAACTCGGGGATCTTGTTGTTCTTTGCTGCTTTGAGGTTTGGATGAATGAGCTGTAGCTCTGTTAGTTTTAATTTGAGTTTCTTTTCAATTTTCCAAGTTTCCTTGGATTTATTTACATTTGTAGATAGATTTATTTGTTTTTTTTCCTCCTCCTTTTTTTTTTTTTTTTTTTTTTTTTTTTTTTTTTTTCTCAAACCAATACTCGGGAGTGTTTTTTTTAGTTATGTATTAACAAAAGTAGTGGTTGTCTGAGTTTCCTGAAAATGGCTATGAGATTCTGTAATATGCTGCTTTTTCAGAATGTCCCACCTAGGATGTTGTGCCTGTAGGGTTTGTATGGGAACATTGGAATATTATGGGGGGAATCAATCCGTTTCTAAGAGTTATTTCCATTTAAGTTTGGCCATCTATAATGTTTTGGTATAGCGGGCGACAGTGATTCGGACCTTTTACATCTCTATACAATAATATTATGCACGTGTTTGAAAAGTTGTATCTCATTGGTCATCGAATTTCCTGTCCAGAGACCTCAATGTATCAGTTAGACAGCATAAGATGACTTCATTTGAAGTTTTTCCTCTGCTGCCCTGCCTTGTCTTCCTCTGCTGTGATATTATTTTTGTGTTCTAGTGCATCTAGTTACTCTTAGTCTGTACACATCAGCATTTGAATTGTCTTGAAAATTTATTTTCTCTTTTGCAGAAAAATGTCTCGAGTTGAGGAGCGATGGGAGCGTTTAGTCCGTGCAGTATTAAGCAGGGAAAGGATGGGGGCTGATGCATATGGGCGGCATGCTACTGGCATTGCTGGAAACGTCCCATCTTCACTTGCAAATAATAGGGATATTGATGAAATTTTGAGAGCTGCAGATGAAATCCAAGATGAAGATCCCAATATCTCTAGAATATGTATGTTTCTCATTCTTATTTAATATTTTTTGCCCCAGTATTACTTTTATCTTCATTGGGTTTTTTCAGTGTTTATTTGACCTTTTTATATTATATTATTATCGTTTAGTTGAGTCTCTCCATGCTAATTGCTTTTCTAGACTGTAGCGGATTATTGAAATTTACAAACCTTTGTGTACTTCCTTTTGTGCAAGTGCCTTGTACATGCCAATAGCAAATCATTTAGTGCAACTGGCTTCGTAGAAGAAATGCTATTGTAGTTCAATCATTTTTCAGTGTCTCTGTGCCTCTGTTGAGCCTTTCTTTTTTCTCTGATAAATCAGTCTCTGGTTTTGACATGATTATGTACTTGCAGTTTTAATTTTCCACTCTGTTTATTACTTCAAATTATGGTTTGTAGCTTGCTTGAGTTGTAAGGAACTTATTCTTAAATGTGACGTAAAAATCAATGAGTCTATTTTGGTAGCGGGGGGATTGATACTTGGTTTCTTTGGGCTGGTCATATATTCATCTGGGTTGTTGAGAGGCAAACCGCCTTGAACATTTTTTTTTTTTTTTTTTTTTTTTTATTATCAAATTATTTATAAAAAATTATTATTAATATTATATTTTTCTATGAAAAAAAAAAACAAAAGATTTGACTTCTAAAATACATTTTCTTATGGTGGATTGTGTGCTACTGCTGTAGGCATCATCACAGCTCATAAAACATTCCATTACTCGTTTACTCCTTAGCTTAGTCCTCTTAGAGTTTTGGCTTTTTGCATGACATTCAGTGATGCAAGATTAAGCTACTATGAAACAAGATTAATTCAAAATGAAGTATAAAACTTATTTGCCCCAAGCAGCGATCCATATATGTGGCAAGAAACAAAATACAATCAGCTCAACAGTCCCATCCAGTCATGGTGAATTACACTAGGAGGATACTCCTGATGCTTATAGGAAAGAAGCCCAAGGGGATTACTTGAGTTTTCTTACTTAAAAGGAAACACGAAGTACATGAAAAAAAAATCCTTGCCCTAGATAGTGCCACTCCATTTGTTGGACTGAGCTGGTTTCAGCGATGTATTGTTAATTTGACATGATATTTTATTGAATGCTGTGAATTATCTATCATCCACACTCCTAAAGGTTAAATTCCAAATAAATAGAACATGAAGGTAGGTAGAATTTGGTTGATAGTACTGCAGTTCTGGGGTGTTTAGCTTAAAAAAAAAATTCAACTTGGAGAGTCATCTAAAGCTCAGTTGTTGTAAATTTGATGGTGAAACATTTGTCTATCTTGCGAAGTATACTAATTCTATGTTTGCAACTCAAGACTGTATTTTTGAAAATGCTGAGGTTTTTTTTTAATCCACCTGCAGTATGTGAGCATGCTTATTCACTGGCTCAAAATCTGGATCCTAATAGTGAAGGAAGGGGAGTATTACAGTTCAAGACTGGATTGATGTCTGTCATTAAGGTATATGTTTAGTATGAAGGAAGGGGAGAAAAATTTGAAGCTGTTAGATTTGTACTTTATTTTTCATAAGAATTATATATGAAATTTCTTATATTTCAATTTGACTATAGCTTGTATTTATTTATCCCTTTGAACAAATTCGCAGCAAAAGCTGGCAAAGAGGGAGGGCGGAACCATAGATAGAAGCCAGGACATTGCTCGCTTACAAGAGTTCTATAAACTTTACAGACAGAAGAATAATGTAGAAAAGCTGCGGGAGGAAGAAATGAAGCTGAGGGAGTCTGGTGCTTTCAGTGGGAACCTGGGCGAGTAGGTTTCTGTGGTCACAGTCTGACCCCAAAGATGCGTTCTTTTTAATTGCTTAGTTTCTATGCATTATGCTGATGGCTTCAGTTTCTTTCTGCTATGGTTCCGTTTTTCTCGACTGTTTAATGGAGCTCAAATTATGATGCTTTAAGCTTGCCGATGCACACACCCTTTCAAAAAAGAAAAAAGCTTGTATACACACATATGCATGATTGTCTGCCAGATTGTACTAAGAATCTTTTATTTTTTTAATGTCGTTTATCATGTCTTTCTTGGATGTTTATGTTGATTTTGTTACCTGTATTTGTTTAATCAGGTTGGAGAAAAAAACAGTGAAGAGAAAAAGAGTTTTTGCAACTCTAAGAGTTTTAGGGACAGTTCTGGGGCAGCTGACTGAGGAAATTCCTGAAGAGGTTGATTTTATAGTGTTTAATCTGTTTAATGTAAAACTTCAGATCTTGTTATTGACCGTGCTTGCGTCATAATCATATTCTATAATCTGCTCTATTTTGCTCTGTAATGGGTTCAATAGAACCCTCCTTTTGTGATCCACTATGTGCTTTGAGTTTCACTTACCAACACCTTGAAACCATCTATGGAGCCTAGTTGTATTCGACCTATTAAATATAATCATACTTTTATCTAACCCTTATTAACCATACATGTATACTGGGAAATTTTTTTCTATCTCGTCCGAGTATAATTAAATTGTGGATGCTTCTTTTTCATTCAGGTTTTTTTTTTTTTTTTTTTTTTTTTTTTTTTTTTTTTGGGTGGTATATAATATGGCTTCTATCTGTTTTTGCATTGCAGCTGAAACAAGTAATGGAATCAGATGCAGCAATGACCGAGGACCTGATTGCCTACAATATTATCCCACTCGATGCTCCTAGCATAACAAATGTTATTGTATCTTTGCCCGAGGTAATTGGTTCTTTACTTGAATGTTTTAAGTTGACATCTTATTATCTCTATTTGCTATAACTGAAAAATTTCATGGCCAGGTTCAAGCAGCAGTGTCAGCATTAAAGTATTTCAGGGGTCTACCAAATTTGCCTACAGATTTTTCAATTCCCGCTACAAGAGATCCTGACATGTTGGATTTTCTACATTATATTTTCGGGTTTCAGGTATCTACATGATCACACTTTTCTCTGAATCCATATGTTGCCCTTGGCTTATTTA